CCTTGCCCGTAGGCTACAGAGTTGGTGGAGGATGAGCACTGCTCTCCCAAAGGCTAAGGCAGGGGATGAGCATGAGTTTCTCTGTTTTTAGAGCAGTGCTGTGACTGCTAGGTATGGGCAAAACATGTGGCTTAAGCTTTTGTGCTGCTCAACCTTGACAAGGCGGCAACTGTTCTGCTTGTGTACGGGGGAACTGTGGGGAAACTCGCTGGCAAGTGATAGTCTGGAGGAGCCTAAGAAGCTGATTCAGTGCTTTGGAAATATTGTTAGCAGGATGTCACCTGTACCTCAGTACCACTCTAACCTTATTGTAACCCCTGCTCTGATCCTCCAGAGCATCAGGACACTGCGGCTGCCTGTTCCCAAGGTTGGGCAGTGGGATCACAGAGCCATTGAGTGGCCCATCTCTTACCTAGAGCTTTAGAGCAAACAGAAGGACCAGGATAATGCAACTCACTGAAAAAAGTCCTCGCGGTCTACAGGCTATCTTCAGGCTAGGCAGGCAAACCCTTCAGTTAGTGGAGAAGAAAAGACTGGAAGGATGCACGTCCTCCTCTAGCCAGCCCTGTTCTCAGAAGTCCTGAGGCCAGTTGCTGACCGTCTCCACTCTTGCAAGGCTGGATCTTGTCTTCAGTCTGTTCAAATAAGAGGCAATGTCTTTGTGTAGAGGAGATCCAGTTCCCACCATTGCCTCATCCCTCTGCAAAGAGCTTGGGTAAATAGCACACGGTTATGCACGACAACACTCATTTTCTTCCTCTGTCCTTGATGCTATCTCTATATTGTATTTATTAGGCTATGAGCTTATGGGACAGCTTTGGCACTATTGTTTAGGCAAATTGCAACACATGTAGGAATTCTTTTTCTCTCTTGTTGGAATATTTTTTTTCTGAAAAAGCCTAGTCCAGTATGTTGTAGAGTGTTTTTTTTTTTTCCCAAAGTAACATTGTTGCTGTATTTGACGTGATTGTCTGATTCCTCTTTGCAGAGTTAATTTCCCATGAGGGATCAAAGCACAAACTCTGGGTTTCGTTTCAAACCGATTTGTGCTTTTTTGCTGCCTATCTCTGATCAGTATGGTGGAAATGGAAAGGCACGTTTTCTGAAGTTTTGTTTAATCCTGGTGGAATTGCTATGGTGTTGAATCCCCTCTTAATCTCTATTTCATACTTATTTTTCAGGTTTTTATATAACCGAATGGGATATTGGAGTGACTGGTCCATTCCAATACTTGTAACAACTGCTGCTGGCTTTACGTACATTGCAGTGTTATTGGTAAGTAAAATAAAAATGCTATCTATAAAGGTTGTGTGTGTGTATGTGTTTTTATAAAGGGCATGAACTTCTCAGTCCATGTAAGATGGTGAGCAATTTTCCTTTCAGAAGCAATTTCTCTCTCCTGTTCTCTCTCAAAGCCTTAAGTTGCCTAAAGTAAAAGGAAAGTGAAAAATACATAGCCTTTTGAGCTCAGATGATCAAGAACAAAGACGGAGGCTGTGATGCTGGTGGGGCAGCTGGCCTGCGGAGAAACAATTCTTGTTTCCCTTGGTATGGTCCAGGCCCAACTTTGATGTATCTTTGAATCGCTAGTGCAGGCTGTTTCCCCATGTCCCAGGGTGCTAGGTGTCTACAAGGTGATGTCCGTGCAGGCAGCAAGGCGATACCTGGCCCCGTGCAGGCAGTGCATCCTGCAGTCCCCAGCATGCATGGACCGAACTCTCCGCTTCTTGGCGGTCAAGGCTTCTTCCACCATGTCCCCTGCTTTGGAGAGGATCTGTCTGTCCAATTGAGCTAGGTGTTGTCTGCAGCACCATCCCCAATCCTGCTTTCTGTCCTGGCCTGTCATTGTCTTTTGGGGTGTTGTCTCATTCCTGCATGTGTGAACCCTTCATGGTTGTGATGTGCCGTTGTCTGACTTGTTTTCTTCTTTCCAGATACTAGCACTATGTCACATAGCTGTGGGACAGCAAATGAACCTACACTGGCTTCACAAGGTAAACAACTCTGCTCTGCTCAGAAGTGAGCAGGACGTCAGTAAAACATAGGAGTCTAAGGAATGGGTGGTCCATGGGGTACTTGCTACTGTGGTGTTTTTGGGAAGCACATAACCTTGAGGTGGGCTGTAGTGCTTGCATCTTCACCTTAGAAAACTGAGCAAAATTACACAGTAGTGGCAGTCAAAGCCTTGGGGCAAAGACTTTCATCCATGGTGGGTGAAATGCTTTGCTGTCCCTGCTGGCAAAGGACTCCTTTTTGGAGACTGAGAAACACCATGTCGCAAGAGCATCCTGACTTCTGTCTCAGCTCAGTGTGATACTCTTACTTCCCTCTCTTGTGCCTCTTTCTGCGTTGAACCCAGCCCTGGCAGAGGAGCTGAGCAGGTGTGAAGCTGTTCAAGATGTGCTTGTAGTAACTGTGGAAAAATGTTGGGGGAAAGATGTAGGTGTTCAGCCTGCAGTTTAGGGTATGGGTTTGCTGAAACTCAAGAAGGTCCTGATTTACATGAGTACGTGTTAAAAAGTCTGGAGAAAATCTGAGTTATGCGTGTAGCAGAAGATACAGATTTGGTGTTCGGAGTGCAGAAAGGGAGAGGAAGACTAGCTAGCAAGCTGTGGGGAGAGACAGCGCCAAAGAGAAATGGCTTGGCAGGATTCAGTTGTAACAGACAATCTGCTAATAGGTAATTAAGGGACCAGTCCTGAATCTGCCAATATAGAGGCATCTCCTGAAATCGGTTGTTCTGCACGTGACAAGGTCTTGCAGGATCGGAACCTGAGCAGATGCATCTTCCCCCAGGGCCAGGGAGAGCACAGCCCTCCTCCTCTCTTCCCTGAGCCCCCTCTTTCCAGCAATGTTCCCTCCTTGGGAGAAGGGGATGCAGTGCAAAGAGGGGGCGGAGGCTGTCTGACTGCTGCTGAAAAACAAGTTGTTGATTCTTGAGTCTAACATATGTTTCTTTGTTGGGGAGATGGTATTTTTTCAGACACGCTCCAGGTGGCTGGTGGGTTTGGATGAGTAAGTCAAGAAGAGGAATGTGTTGGAGATCGGTTAGTTCTCCTTGCCTACAGAAGCCCATCCTTCCTTCCCTTCTTCCAAAAAAGTCCCCCTTTCATCACAACTTAGATGTGCTGCTCAGCCTCTCTTCTCTTTTCTGCACCTCCCTCAGAGAGAATGAGAGGCTGGAATAAGTTAATATTCTTGTCTCTGTAACCACTGAATTACCTTCAAATATAGATTAAAATGTGTAGGAAAGGCTTGTATGTGCGAGCAGCATGATTCCTTCCAACTGTCTTCTGTGATCCTGTGAGAAGTGCTGAGGATCATAAGCAGAGTTGGAGATACAGGGGAAAGGGTGAGAAGCAATAAAAGAGAGCTGATGTGAGACGGAAATGATGAAATAGATGTGTTTGTATTTTGACACCTCTGTGCTTCGTGAGGACAGGACCATGAATGGGAATTAAGTGTGTATTGAAATAATCGAGCTGACAAGGTCTTCTGTTGGCACTGAATTGGGAGTTCAGCTCTGAGTATAAAATGGATGCAAAGTGCATTTGACCCATGTTGTATGCTGGTGTTATGCTCTGGCAGGCAGCCTGGAGGTTTGACCACAGGATGGGCGGGAGCAGAGTAACTGTTGCAAGGCTATTTGGCAAAGTGCAATCATCTATGTGCATGCAGACAGCGGGAGGATGTTGTGTCGTGTCAGTCCCCAGACCAAGTCCACACACCGGCACCCTGCCGACCTCTAATTGAATCGGGAGGGTTCGCTGTGCCATTGGTGGATGGGCACACAGCAGATAAGCAGCCACGAGTGCCCTGCCGCGTTGCTTCTGGGTTAGCGCTGGGTCTCAGCTTTGCACTGGATCTCAGGTTTCACTAAGCCCTTTGTGGCTCATAACTACAGTGAGCAGGGGTTGCCTTTTAAGCAGGCAAGAAAGTCTAGCCCTTGCCTGCCTGTGCAGAGATGGGCAGTAAGGGGTTTGCAAGCAACCTCTTGGCTCGTGAGTCCGTTTCAGACTGGGGGGAGGTAAATCCTTGCTCACGTGAGTGTAACCTCAAAGGCCATCTCCCTTGTCCCCTTTTGGCACCACGGGTGTTTTGTTCATGTTCTCCGAAAAGTGGAGACTCAGGGTAAACCACTGCTGTCCTACGGGCAACTACTTCACCATTGACAGATCTGTCTGTGGGCAGCCAGGACAGGAATGGCAGGGGGGAAACTGAGACTAAACTCGCCTTTTTTGCATTAAAAAAAGGATTTCTGTAAATGCTGGGAATGTGTGTTTTTTTTCTTCTGTTTGCTTGTTGCTATTACAAGAAGCATATGAGCTGTAAAGAAAATCTGAAATCAATCTAGTAATGTCCTGTACATCCTAGATGATCAATTCATTAGTATGTATCACTTGGACTTTTTTTTGCCTAAATTTCTGGTAAGGATTACAGATCTAGACAGCATGTAAGACTGAGGCACAGAGCAGCAGCATCCTTTGACTCTAGCAGGCTTGCAGTGTGGTAGAAGCTGAGAGACCAGACGGAGAGGCAGAGCAGATCAACTGCTTTTTGACAGAGACTAGACTTAGCCTGCCACGTCTCTTGAGGTGGAGTTTTATCTGTGGCAGTTTATTACTGTTTGAGCTTTTTACCCTCAACATAGAGGTTCTCTCTCTTTCTCCCTCTATTTATTTACTTATTTATTTATTTTGTACTGTTCTACTTAGACTTCTGAGTATTTCCACATGGAAGGAGGGGTGGACTAGGGGAGGTGGCTGATATACTGGATCTCATCCTGACATCTCTGCTTGGTTGCTGGGTCATCCAGAGCCTCTTCTCTTGCTGCAATATCCCTGTTGTCACTGCTCTGCCAACATGACTTGGATGCTGACAGTCACATCCATGCATAAAGTTGGGTCAAGCTATCTCTGTGAAGTGGCTGCTTAGAGGTGGGGATGCGCAGGCTTATTTGCACGTGCATCTGCTCTTTATGGAAGTGCAATGATAGTTGTCTGCTGTGTGTTTTCAAAGCTTATTCATGAGCAGAAGTGGAGGGGAGGCAAATCTGAGCTGGCAGCAAAGTCCACCAACCTCCTATAGCATTAGTGCATCAGTCTGTCGCAGCAGGGCCAGGAGAGGACGGTATCATCTCCTGAAGTTGTCAGGCAGACCCCAACCTCTGTTTAAGCTCTGCTTCTGATCCAGTTTGCTGCCATGGCAGATCACTTGGCCTCTCCATACCTTTGGCCTCTTCTGTGAAGAGAGTGAGAGATCACCCATGAGATGTGCCCTACTGGGGCCGTCTAGCCTGGTGTTTTATCTCCAGTGGGGGGAGAGTGGACGGAGGCAGGTACAGTGTTGGGAGAGCACACGAGCCCAGTCTCTTTCCTCATGGGTCCTAAGACTAGTTGTTATAGGAAATGGTCATTTATTGCATCCGAAAGCTTTCTCTGTCTGTTTTCCCATCTGTAAAACTGCCACGATAACGATACAAAACCTCCACTAAGTAAACACGCTCATATTTGCTGCAGATTGGCCTGATGACGACCTTGATAACTACCGTGGTGACCATGTCATCGATAGCTCAGCTTTGGGACGATGAATGGGAGATGGTATTTATTTCACTTCAAGTAAGTTGTGTGCAGGGATGCTCTTCTGGATGGGGAAAGAAATGATGGATCAGCATAGCTACTTGATGTGGACTTTGTCGTCTTGCTGTATAAAACCCTCTCTTGGGCTTTGTTCTGTCACTCCCAATACTAAGAATGAAATCTTGGCCATGAGAAAGTCTGTGGCAAAACTCCCATGGACTCCTCAAGGCCATGATATCACTCTCTCTCTGTGTCCTGGGTCCTTTTCTTTAAATTCCAAACAGGGCTTGGCTGCAGAGCTGGAGGTGGGAAATAGAGGCTGGGAGTGACTCAGAGCTGCTGGAAGGAGAGAGCAATTCCTTGCTGAAATAGCCACGATCTTCGTTTGGCTAGCAATGCTCTGGACGTGGTGTCCAGGCCTGAAACGTCATGCTCTTCCCACCCTCGTGGGAATGCTCCTCTGATTTTATTTTTACACTGCATATAAGTATGTATGTATATTTAAGGAAAATGGAACATGTGCGTGCTCTAGTCCTGTTTTAAGAAATGCTTCTGGTATGCTGCAGGGCTGCGTAAGTGTTAGCAGAAAAGCCTTACAAGCTGCTTATTTCTTGATAGAGGTGCTCTTTTCCGTTTTTTTTCCCCTCTTCCTCAAAAAGCTGAGCAAACCAATTTTGGCTGTGAAAGACCTGAGGTTTTACTGATGGTCACTGCTGTATTTGGGAGTACCTAGATACGGAGGAGGAAAAAACAGCATTCCCTAAGTGACTAATGCTTCCCAGAAGTGGCTTGTTCATTCTTCCCCGGTTCCTAGAGATTTAGGAAGGCAACTGGAGAACAGACATGGACTCATAGGACCCATCTCAAACTTTATCTCATGCTACCTGGTGATACAGCAGTGTGTTCAGCTGGCTAGCAATTGGACTACAGGAAATTTAAAACTCACTTGGCAGCCAGAGCTTTACTGAAAATTGCCTGGTGTCTCAAGAGGCCTGTTTCAAATATCTGTCTGTTGGGCGAGCTCTCCTCAGAGAAGGGGGTTAAGGCTTTATTGCTTTGCTTTCTCAGTGGCCTGAGTGGTAGCGGCAGGGTTAGGAACAAGAGATGGCCACAAATGGATGCAGAAGCCCGACGTAGGAGCACTGTGAAACCCAGTTTGAAACGGAGTGGGCTGACGCCCTACGGAGGAGCCCCGAAACTCCCTTGCCAGAGCTGGGCATCCTGTGGCTGCTGGCTCGGGGATGAGGCTGTTCTCTGGGAAAACTCTGCTGAAGCCAGGGCAGGTGCGCCTGGCCTGGGGATACATCCGGATCCTATAGCTGCTGCTTTGATGCTGGAAGCATACCAGGCCTGGAGGTGAAAGGGCTGCTTTTAATGATGAAGTGAATAAAAGCATCTTAATTTCTATCCTTCTGCTTTAGAAAATATAATTACAGCATCTCCAGCTAATGCACAGGGTTCTCTGTATCTCATAAGTACTTCTCCTTTCCTCCGGCTCCTTGGCTCTTGTTCACCTGGGTTTCTAGGTTTATCTGCCTTTTGAAGGCCTTTATGGTCTCCTTTTGTGTTGCAGTAGGATCTAGAGGGCTCAACTGATCTGACCTCTGGATGATTAGGTGCTTCCTAAATGCATATTGAGACATGGTCTAAGCCTAAAGAGACCAGCCAGGTGAAGGTCGTGCAGTCACCTGGATGAGCGCCACCCAGCAAAGCCAGCAGCTGAACCCAGATCTGGCTGCTCGTCCTGTCTACTGAAAGAAGTTGCTCTGTGTGTTGCCATGACCCCTACCTCATTGCCACGGGCTCTCGCAGTCCTGGGCTGTTCCCTCAGTTTTTCTTGGGGAATAGTTTGTTCCTTCGGTGCACTCAGCAGTGTTTTTCTTCAGGAAGTCACAGATGTCCTCAGACTGTTGTATCAGCTCCATTAAAAAATGATTTTAATTGGTATTTAACCTGCAGCAAAATACAAGCCTTGGAAGTATTTGGCAGCACTTGCAAAAAAAACTTCCAAGAAGTGGGTGTTAAGCACAGGGAAACAGTGTCTGAAGAAGACGACTGGAGATCGAAAGACTTTAATATCCGGGGAGACCTTTCAAAGGAAGAATTGCTATGGTTTAGTTTATAAACATTCCAGTGAAGCTACACCTGGTTTCTCTTAAATATATGTCTTAGTGTGTAATTAGCCTGCCAGTTGAGGGAGGGTTTGCAGGTATGCCTAGAGGAGACTTTATGGGTTCCTTTTGAATTCCTCATACTTGTTTTGTTTGAGCTGAGTTCTCCGAAGATGGCTCTTTATTTATTTATTTTTTTTAAATAAGATAAGAATCTCCTTTGTTTCTCTTCTGCTCCTGGATGGTATTTTTTTTTAAAAAGGAAAAGTGTATTTCTTTTGTACCGCTCGATCCCTCTGTATTCAGGAGTCATTTTACTTGTGAAAGGTATCCTACTTGGCAGAGTTTACAGTCCTTTTGGTGCAGATATGCCTGACATGGCAGCATTAAAAATGGAAGTGAAGAAGTGAAATCTCTGTGAAAGCCTTGGCCTGGGGTTTACGATCCATTGTAATAGCATTTCACTCAGTAATACTAATGTGGAAATAACTAGTGCAGCTGGAGTCATTGGTGCAAGAGTCTGTTCTTGTCCTGTCTTTGAGGCACCTGAACTTCAGCAGTTGGATTTTTTTTTTCCTGAGTAAACTTATGCACGCTTTTCTTTTTCTTTGCTACTTTCTCTGTACCCAAAGAATAGATGTTTCTAGAATGGCTCCAGTGGTTTAAAAGGTAGTAGCTTATTTGAAAGCAGAAGCAAGCTTTGAAAATTCAGCCCTGGAAGCCTTGAATAATGAATGGGAATGTGACAAATATGCTCTTGTAGGAGCCTAGGCTCCACCAGTGTGGTTGCTTAGAGCAGGAGGAGTGGAGAAGGAAAGCTTATCTAAATTTTGACATTGGCGTTGCCATGTTGTGGAAGGTGAGAGCTTTATTCGTCCTGCTCACTTGGCTCGGGTGGTCATCAGGAGAGCTTCTTCCATACAGACCTTCCCACCTCAAACTGAACAGCGTGTACTTTGCTTGTATTTCATGACTATGTATGACTTTCAGATGAATCCCAAGTACCTCCTGCATATCCCCATTCACATCTGCCAGGTGTCTTTGTGACAGTGTCGGCCACAACACAGCACTTCCACCCTTGCTGGTGTGCTGAAGGCACGGGAGTTGCATGCTAGTGAAGTACAAAAACAAATTAACGGCCTTGGTTCACTCCATTTTTGCTCTCTGGGAAGAATCAGTGTTGTGGTGTTTTGATCGTTTTTGCTTGGGGCTTTTTTTTGGTTGTTTTGGCATGATATCCGTCTCCCCATGTGCATGGCTGGCTGTGATCCTCAGATCCATTTCAAAATGGCCCATGATCCTTTCTGGGGGCATTTTGCCCTTGTGAGTGGGTACAGTCCAGTGATAAAAATATTTTCAAGCCCACGCACTTCGTGTGGTCTTTACCTTTGATCTGACTCTGAGCTGCATAATCCTCAAGCTGCAGTAACGTGAGAGAAGGGATCAGATTGTCAGCAAAGTCCCAGGCTGTGCAAATAGTTAGGCTGATTTTTGAAAGCCTAGTTGGTGTGTTGCGTTCCTGGGGTGAACAAGAATGGGTCAGGGTGATGTCCTGTGCCTTCTGGAGGTTTTGATGCTGGTAACGCACAGCTCCAGGGCACCATACCTTTATGGTGCAGGACACAGCATGAACTCAGTTAGCAAGATGCCACTGCAACATTCAGTTCCTTGAGTGCTCTGTGGGTGATTGAACTCTCTGCCAGAGCTGGCAAAGTTGCTGGTGTTACTGCCTGACAAGTAGGAACACATTTGAATAAGGCTATTGGATGGCAAAAGCAAAATGCCATTTGCTTATTTGTGAAAGTAGATCAGCTCTGGTCAGGACCCTAGCTGGGCTGCTCCATGCTTCTCCTGAAAAAACTGCTTTCTCCATCTTGCTTCTACTGCAAATATTTGCTTTAATTCAGTTTTTTGGAGGTTCTCTCCCAACCTCCAATGTCTTAGCAAGCTTGCAAAATAAATAGAAAATGAAGTTGTCTTTTGCTTTGACACTTGTGGGTTCAAGTGACTGTAAATAGCTCATGAGTTCAAAGGTGCCTGTTGTCCTTTGTAACAAATGCACGTCTGTCAAGAGCAAGGGGTGTTTTTGTTGCACTGTCAGCACCTTCTAAAGATTCCCAGCATAACTGTTTGCCAGAAGTCACTGAAAGTCAAAGGCGGGCAGCCGAGGCATGGCACGGGATGCAAGGGTGCTGGCCTGGCCCGGCCCCCGGCACTGCAGCCAGGACCCTCTTCACTTCCTTTGGTCCTATAATGCAGCTGCTTGCTGGAATCCTGAGGAGTAAAGCACCACCCCAGCCCAAGGGACTTACTCAAACATGTCCACCTTAACCAGTAAAACTTCACTGCAAATTAAGTCAGTTCTAGCTGGTGCATATCCTGATGCAGAAGCACTTGAAGTCGCCTTACTTTGGCTGAAATGAGTAGTGTTGATGAGCCACCAAGGTAAACCAAAATAACTTTAAACATACCAACGTGGCACATGAGTTGCAGGAATGTTTATCTGGTGCCCTATTTCTGTTGTCAAGCAGGCCAAAATTTGGTGGAGTCCCACCCAAAGGACTGAAAATCGACAGTGTGTTGGGTTAAGTTGCTGGGGCTTTAAGCAGTGCACTTGAATTTTTGTTTCCCCAAGTATAAAATCAAGTGAAAACCTCCATCAGGACTTGAATACTTCAGAGAGAGGGGTTTTTTTTGTGTTTTTGGGTTTTTTTTAAATGGAAGATGTTATTCCTTAAACACAGAGCTCTGCTCTTCTGCTGAAGGCGATGGCTGTGGACCAGTCCCTGCACTGGAGGAGGACAGTGTCTTGACTTTGCTGATGGGGGAAGTCTGAACTAGCATTTTCATGAGTGTTTGTTTTTTTTTTTTGCTTTGCCTCAGCTTCTCAGATGCTGATGTTCACTGCATACCTTGCAGTTGTAGTTGCACTTTACCTCGTCCCTCTCACCATTTCATCCCCTTGCATAATGGAGAAGAAGGCTCTGGGACCAAAGCCGGCCATTATAGGTCACCGTGGAGCACCAATGGTGAGTAGTTTCATATTATTAGTACCGTGTTATTTGACTCTTCTGCCTGATGATGGGTCTGGATCTGATGATCTGCATGTTGCTGTCTAGACAATGTCATTCATCTCCAGTAAATGTCAGTGTGTGATCTCTAGCAGCTCGTTTACCTTAGTACTGTGAGGGAATTGGGACAGTAGAGAGAGAACTTGAAAGTACTTGAAGTGACTTGCAGGAACTCCCTTCTGGCTAGAATTACAGTGGTGATAAAGCAGGACGTGAATCCAGAGGTGAGTCGTGCCCCACCTGCACTAGGTGCTGTACAAGAAAAGAAAAAAAATAGGGCTTGATTTGTTCAGGGTCTTTTGTGGCCTTTGTGTATCTGGTCACTAGAAGTTCTGCTGTTTTTGCTCTTCAGGCATGGCCTTTGAGCTGCAGCGGTAGAGGTTTGTGATTTTAGACCTAGAGGCTCTGCGTTTATGTCCTCTGTGGGACTTCACCAGCAGCGTTAAACTTAACCCGCAGCAAGATGCCTTGGACATGAGGCAATCTGCAGAAAGGCTGTGCTGACCATGTATGACATGCTGTACTCTTGCATTGCAGATCACGATGAGACCGGGTGAGGTGTTGAAAAATTTCTCTCATCTGCCCCCTAGCTGCACCTTGAAATTGTAATGATGTAGTCCTTTCTCCTCCAAGGTGTCTGGGCAGGTCCAGACTAAAGAATAGGGCTTGCTGGCTTGGGCACAGCACTGGGCTTGCATAATGCTGTCCTGTGGTGCCTTGATGTGTTGGCCTCGGTCTTCTCTAGGTTGACTGCTTCTGCCCCTCGGTCCGTTGCATATTTGTACCTCCACCCTTCCTGTACGTTGACCGGCCTATGAAAAACTAGCATGTTACGGCACAGAGCCACTGGTCTTGCAAGTGGCTTTAAAGGCAGCTGGCTAACTTTCTTGCTGGCATTCAAAGAAGAAAAAATGTAGGCAGGCTGCCAAAACCTATTTGGCAGGCTAAAGTCTACTTGAACTCCTCTCCAAGTCCAAGAGTGTGCTTTAGGAGTTTGCTAGGTGAGATGGACGCTGACCATGACACAAAGTGTTTTTATTTCTCTCTCTCTCACACTCTCTCCCCCCCGACTTTTTTTAAAAAAATTATTTATTTTCTTTAAGCTGGAGTTTAAAGGGATTTCTTAATTTGAGCTGCTCTTTTAACTATATTGCCTCTGTGGGTGGTGGAATAAAGTTTTGAGCATGACAAACACTTTTTTTTTTTTTCCTGTCCTGCTGAGCTTGTATCAACTTGAAGTCCAGAAGGAGCCATGTGAGAACGTAGGCTCTGCATGCTTCCTGTATGGCAGGAAATCACAAAAGCGTAGTAGGACTCTATCTTCCTGTAAGATTTCTAGACCTGTGTGCCCCCCTGCAGCCTTCTAAAGAAACGAACCAACAAACCAAAACCTTCTGTCGTCTGGATCAAACTGGACTAGATAAACCTTTAGAGTGCCATGTCTTGAACAAGACTCCCAGCAGAGGCTTCGTCCATTGTTTTGCTTCATGTTCTTCCTTGGAGTCAGCAAACGCTTCTTACATAGGATATAAGCCTGTTAGAGAAGATCCCTTTTGCGTTTTAGGGTGCAGAGGGTAGCTGTAGAGGATGCCTTATGCCATATGTGGCACTGTGGCTCAGGTGATTGTGCCTTTGAATAGTGAAACTGAAATGGGGTAAGAAACTAATTGCTGTAATCGAAAAAAAGATGAGAAGCAGAGACAGGTGGTTAAAACCACCTTCTGTGCTTCCCTCCTTGCCCAGCCTGTCACTATCTCAAATGTCACCTTGAGTTTGAAGAGCTTCCTCTACCCTACAGTGTAAATCCCCAGGTTGTACTAAGCAATATCTGCTTGGAAGCTAATGATTGTAATGCCTTGTCAAAAGGCATTTTTCCTAATAGGATCTAGGCTTCACAAGAAGACTTACTGCACTTCTACTGTTGAGCCCAAGCGTGTCTAGCTTTACTTTGGAGAAATGGCCAAGTGGAGCTAGAGAGGAGGGAATAGCCCAGATAAAAGTCTAGAGACTGCACTGTAGGACCCAGATGTCCTCCCCAAGGGAATATCAAGGCTGAAACTCCACAGAGCCTGGCAGCTTGGGACCTGAGGTGATACTACTGAGGAGATCTAGTGGAAGGGGAGGTAATAAACAGCACTGCTGTAGCAACGGTTGCTTCAAATAACCCAGAGTTAGACAAATGTGGTTTGGGAGCTGTGCAGACAAATGCTTGATCTGATAGAGCCTGATAGCTGGTGCTTGGCCAGGCTGGCGAGACTGTCTGTAATACTGCATTTGCGTGCCGAACACCCTTATACTACAAAGACACAAATGCAATTGAGCACTACTCTGACAAAAGCCAGCAGAGACTGTGGGATGGCTGAATATGCTTGCTGTCTTTAAACAAAGAATTTGTTGGGGCTGATGGCAAGGGAACAGCTGCAGATGATGCAAAAGGTGGTGGACAGAAATGGATTTAATTAAGAGATGCACTTGATCAATTCTGCTCTTTGTGCACCCCACCCACAGTAGTCAGCTGAGGTCCCTCTGCGACAAGTGGCACAAGGAGTCAGGCAGATCTTTGTGCTTTGACCCAGCCTGAGCTGGAGCACTCTTCTAGTGTGAAATGGAGTTTCCCTGGAAAACCATGGATGTGCATGCTTCCTGAAGGATACAGGACTCAGCACACTGATCTATCAGTGCATGCAACGTGCTTCTTGCACGGGGGCAAAGATCTTTCCTTGTGCTCCACAGAGCCTGATTTCCTTTATGCACACGCTCACCCTGTCTCCTCTTGCCCTTTTAAGATGCGAAAGTGCAGCTTTCATAGCATCCGTGTGAGTGCAACTCACTGCCAGCCTTGTGCTGTGGAGGGTAAAAGTGAGAAACAGAAGTCATATGGCTCACGTATTTTGCTTTGAAACACTGGTGGAGGAAAATAGCCTTGCATTTTAAGTAGTAGCCCAAGAGAAAAACAGAAAGCATCCTGGTATTCGCAGCTGGAGGAAACGTGGATTTTCTGCAGTACAGGAGAGCTGCTGGTCCCACGCTGTGTGGCTTGTCTGTAGCTACGAGCGTATGGTAGCACTTCTCCAAGCAATGTCTCTTTGGTATAATCCTGTTCCCCAATGTGTTTTAATTGACTGCGCTGAACGCTTTCCCGAATGACACCTCTTAAATTCTCCTGGTCTAAATATTGCCCAGTGGTGCCCACTTTTCCCTATGATAAGTATGTCCTTTCTCTGAGCAGGTATTTAGCTCATCAATTATAGTTTCTTTTCAAAGATTCCTTTTAAATTAGCCATCCAGCCTCCAGATCTGTTTCTGTTCTTCTGGACTCCCATCAGGAAAGCATCAGGGTGGTGGCGGTAGTGTACTGAGAACTGAGGGCACCGGCCCTCGTGACCACATGATGCCCATGAGTTTGAAGGTGTCCTGTCCTAACAGGTGGCGGAATTGTCTGCTACCTTGAAATGTGAGATAGGGTTGCTGCCACCATTGAATGTTAACGGGTTAAACTTGCTGGACACTTTTCTGAGCTGATGTCTGGTGCCTTTGTTCTTCAAAGCAATCCTTTTTCTTCTCACAGCAGTCTGGTTGCATGCTGTTTTCAATGCCAACAGACTTGACTGTTTTCTTCCTGTGATGGTAAGCGTGTAACTTATGCTGAGGATAAATCACAACAAGCACGTGAGGTGGAAGCCAGGTCCAAATCTGAAATGGAAATGAGGAACCTCATCCAGTAGGACACCAACTTTTACTGCTGTTTGTACCTTTAGTCTTCTCCCAAACAGCTTTTCTCACGAAGTGCTTGAGACTTGATGCAGGTCATCTTTGGGTTTGGGATCTGAAGGAGCTGCTATCCGTGATGTTGAATCCTATTCAAAATTAGGCCAGTCATGGTCCTTGATCTCAATTTTGTTCTGTAAATTACCTAAAGGATTAATACCACCAAGAGTTTATTTCAGCTGTATCTGTCTTCCTAGGAAACTGCATGAAGCCTAGGTATTCACCTCTCTTTACTAGGGCCACATAAAGCACTGGTTGTTCTGAAAGAAATTGGGGCTAAACTTGTGGGAACAAAGGGCATTTGGCATCAAAATAAACACTTAAGGCAAACTACCTAGACAGCTGGTGTCTGACATATCTGAACAGGACTGAGAAAGCCGGTACTGAAGCAACTGTCAATGTGTTTTCGGAAGGGCTCTGAAGCGCTCGGCTCTCGAATGCCACTGTGTCTCAACTCCTTGCTCACGTGGCAGTCGGCGGCCTTCTCTGTGCCGCAAAGAGCCTTTCTTGGGAGCGCTGGCTCACGGGCTCTACAGAACCTCCAAAAGTGGAAAGGGATGATTACCAGAAAACATGAACGACTTGAGTGGGGTAGAAATGTACCCATGGATGGGATGAAACTCCTTGATGGGCAGCCAGTGTTTAATTGCTCTTATGATTTGCCTTTTCCTTTGCTGTACGTCAATGTTTTGCCTTGGCAGGGAGCATATCTTGCGGGTCCCAGGAAATTTCCAGAAAACACCCCATTACACATGTGGAGTCAGTGCTTCATGATACCTGAAGGTGAAGGTTCCAGCCTATGTTGGCGTTGTCTCAGATATGTTATTCTGATATCTTGTAATGCCAGCTATTGATGAGAGCAGTAGTGAAGATTTTGTTTGGTGTTATGGCTCATTGGAGAATTGTCATCTAAACGTAGAAGACCTGGTCGTTTTCTTGTTGTTTTGTTTTTGGTTTCTAGGTGGTTTCAAGGGCCTTTTGATACCCCAGATAAAATGAAAAACTTCACCACCACCTGATTTGAGGTGGCTTTGATTTTTAAGGGCTCTGAAGCACTTTAGTTTGTATTATTTCTGCTGCTGAAATCAAGAAGCATTTGGTCTGCTGCATGTTTTATGCCACCTAGCTATTAAATATATAGGCAGTTAACCTGTCTGTTGCTCCAACTGATAGCAACAGTCGCAATTAAT